GAGCACAGGATGCTCTCCACTGCACACCTGTAGAAGGAGGTGAGGACTGAGCTTCCCAGACCAGCTCGCCTCAGCCGTCTGAGGAAGTAGAGTCTCTGATGAGCTTTCTTGATCAGGCTGGTGGTGTTGTTGCTCCAGCTGAGGTTGTCATTCATGTGTACACCCAAGTACTTGTAGCTGGAGACCACTTCCACCGCAGATCCTCTTATGTTCAGGGGGGTGTAGGTGTTTTTGTTCCTTCTGAAGTCCACAATCATCTCCTTTGTCTTCTTCACATTGATGTGAAGGTTATTCTCTCTGCACCAGCTCTCCAGGTGTTCCACCTCCTGCCTGTAGCTGGACTCATCATTGTTTGTGATGCATCCCACCACCGCTGTATCATCTGCAAACTTAACAATGTGACAGCCTGGATGGGTAGCTGCACAATCATATGTGAGCAGAGTAAACAGGAGGGGGCTCAACACACATCCCTGAGGAGAGCCAGTGCTGAGGGTTATGGTGGAGGAGGAGAGGTTGTGGATCCTCACTAACTGTGGTCTGTTTGTTAAAAAGTCTAGTACCCAGTTGCAGATGGAGGGGCTTAGTCCTAGTGTGGATAGTTTGTCCATCAGGGTTTGGGGGATCATGGTGTTGAAGGCGGATGTGAAGTCCACAAAGAGCATACGGACGTAAGAGTTTTTCTGCTCCAGGTGGTTGAGTGCAGTGTGGACCACAGAGGAGATTGCATCCTCTGTTGATCGGTTCTCACGGTATGCGTACTGATGAGGGTCCTCGTTGATGTTGATGGTTGTTTTGATGTGAGTCATGATCAGTTTTTCGAAGCATTTAGCGACTATCGGGGTGAGGGCCACTGGCCGATAGTCATTCAGACCAGTCACTGTAGAGCTTTTTGGGACTGGGATGATGGTGGCAGTCTTCAGGCAGGTGGGAACTGTCTCCAGGGTAAGTGAGGTGTTAAAGATGTCTGCCAGCACCTCACAGAGCTGATCAGCACATTCCTTCAACACTTTTCCGGGGATGTTGTCTGGGCCGGTTGCTTTGTGCGGATTAATCCTCCTAAAGGTACTCCTTACTTCGGCTGAGGTCACGCTGAGATGCTCTTCATCCGGTGGTGAGGTGAGTCTGGTGCTGGGTGGTCTGTTCGGGTCTTCAAAGCGTGCATAGAACTTGTTGAGGGCATCAGGCAGAGATGGGTCTTTGGGGCATTGTTCACTCCTTCCTTTATAATCTGTTATGCACTTAATGCCCCTCCACATGCTCCGAGGGTCTTGTGAGATGAATTGACCCTCGATCCTCTTTGCATATGTGGCCTTGGCCCTCTTAATACCAGCAACCAGTCATCAAGTCATCATCCAATGTAAGAGTTGGGGGTTCGAATCCACCAGCAGTCACATGCTGAAGTGTCCCTGGGCAAGACACTGAACCCTCATTGCCTCCCATGTGTGTGTCCCATCAGTGTATGAATATGATAAACCCAAACTAACCGGTAAGATGGCGCCCATGTACATGGCTTGCAATCCACCTCTGCTGATGGTGTTCGGATTATTTTTTTTTGTTTGTTTTTTATCTGGGACATAAACTCGCTGCTGGTGTATGACCGACAACAGCTTCTGGATCTTCGTTTTTCTGCCGCCGATGTTGCTTATTTGGAACACTATGAGCATACCTCTGGACCCCCCCCCCCCTTCCCCCACTGCTGGCGGACGTGCCTGTTTACCTCCGCCGCGCTCCACATCCCTGCCTGGAGATATCGCTACAGACGCCGGGGAAAACGTGCTGGGCGGCTGGTAAAGCTCAAAGCCCTGCGCGCTGCATCTTACTCTCCGGCTGGCGGTCATGGTTTCCATCGCCAGCTTCCCGCGTGCCCGGACCAGGTAACCAGCGGGAGTTGTCAGCCATTGCGCAGCCTGGACCAACCTGGAGGGGCTGTTATTGAAAACCTGCGTCCATTAGCGCGCAAACTCCACCACTGCTGGATCCACTTTGGACAGTATCTGGATGTGTTTTGTCAACGCAAGATCTGTTACCAACAAAACTTTTATCCTCAGGGACTACTTTCAAGAACACAATTTGGACTTTCTGTGCATCACAGAGACTTGGATGTCTCCGGGTGAGTCCAGCGCCTTGACGGAATTACTGCCACTGAACTGTCTGTATTTTAATGCACAGCGGCCATCAGGCCGGCGCGGTGGTGGATTATTAACAATATTCAAATCAACTTTTGGCTGTTAACAACTGCCCATCCCAGTTTCCCGTGCCAGCTTTGAGCTGAGCGTCTTTGAACTCGGACATTCACCTGCGACGTTATTTGCACTCGTCTACCGCCTACCTCGGTCTAAGGATTTCATAAATGAGTTTTCTGACTTCTTGGCTGAAATCACACCAAAATATAATCATGTTTTCATTATTGGGGACTTTAATTTGCACGTGTGCTGTCCTGAGAAGCCCTTGGTTAAGGACTTTTTAGATTTATTGGACTCATTTAATTTAACTCAGCATGTAAACAGTCCCACCCAAGAGTGTGGACATACACTGGACCTTGTTTTAACTCATGATGTGACTGTTAGTAATCTTGTTATTGGTGATAATGTTTTTTTCAGACCACATGCCAGTCCGGTTTGAGTTCACCCTCCCCCATCTAACTCCTAAGTCGTGCATTCCTGCACGTAGCACTCGGACCATTAACCACTTCACTGCCACATGTTTCACAGATGTTTATAACTCTGAAATGATAATTCAGCCCCCAGTGTTTCTCACCACCACTGAGGAGCTGACATCCCAGTTCAACTCTGTCTGCTTAAAGACTCTGGATCATGTTGCACCTGCTAAAACCAAAAAATCAAAACTCAGAGCAGAACCTTGGCTGAGTGACGTCACCAAGGCCGTTAGGCAGCAATGTAGGAGGGTGGAGTGAAAGTGGAGGAAAGACAGACTGCAGGTCTCTTTCCAGATACTTAAAGAGAGTTGGCGCCGTTATCAGAAAGCAGTGAAAGCTGCTAAATCAAAATACTTCTCTGATATAATTACCTGAAACTCTCACAACCCACGTGTCCTCTTCTCCACCCTAAACTCTGTTCTCCACCTCACTGAACCATCACCTCTGGAAGCCTCGACTGAGCTGTGCGAGAACTTCCTACATTTCTTTTTGGAAAAAATTGCGACCACCAGGGCTCTCATTTCCCCTCCAACTCATGACCCATCCATCCCACCTCAGTCTGTAGCTCCTTTTGACCATCTTGAACCATCACTCTATCTTCTCTAGAGCAGGTCATGTGCAGCTTGAAACCT